TTTTTCTCTCTGTTAAATGACTCGTGCGCGGACACTGCTGTAAATCCACGAAATTCCAAAACTACTTCAAAAAGTACCGCGATCTAGGACAGAAAGTGTTCATATTTCTTCGCGGAATGCAAAAAAAAAAAATGCGATTCTTTCCGCTGTCTTAACGAATATCGATACACGACTATATGTATGGGCTTTCTAGAATTATTCGCGACGTCCGGCTTCGTGTTCGGTTAAGCGAGTAGTTCAGTCAGCCTTGGTGAAACTCGCAGCGTTTTGGACGTGATATTGAATATTCCACGGTAAACACATCAGAATTCCGTGCATGCAATGCAGTGGCATTACGATATACGCCCTATGTACGTCGGTCGCGTCGCTTTTCGAAAACATCTCACATTTACCGCGCTCGACATATACATATAACGGATGCGCATCACCTCGGGGAACAGCGAAATCTCGAAATAACAGTCGATTTCAACTCGTAACTACTAGCACCTTTACTACTCGCCGAGAGTAGAGAGCGGTTCAACAGCGACAAAAAAAAAAAAAAAAAATCCGTTCCGAAAAACACCAAAAATATGTAGATTCCAAGTAACGTTTATCAAAGCGAATGAAAAATAGCGGAACTACCACACGGAAAGGATGAGATGTTGCGCGAACAAAGAGAAAATATAAAATATCGACGAAAAATATTAACACGCGCGTGCACATTCGTCAAATTGTAGTTTAACGACTCGATCTTGTCCTCTCGTTGAAAAAATCAAAGGAAAGAATAAAATTGCGTCATCTGCATGAATATGGATAAAAAGATATCGATATAGAGGTTATTGCTAAAAAGAGGAAAATTGCAAGAACACAAGCTTGGATAACACAAAAAAATGTGCAAAATTTGAAAAACACTATGCACACATATATTAATATACAAAAAAAAAGTAAATAAATAAATAGGAACACGCTCACGCAGGGTATTGTTGGTAATTTTGTATTATAATATTAACATGCCCGCAGCATCAGTTTATTTAACATAATCGGTCGGTCCAACATTTGCAGACGACAATGGGATATTGTAATTTTGTTTAATCCACTTGTATTTTATACGCAGAAATATGTGTTTAAATTCACATAATACGAACTATGATGTCAATGGATTTATTAATGAATTAATGAATTAATATTTTGCGCAAATTCATTAAAAATCCATACGCTGTGAGTATAATGTGACTAATGTATTCAATCGCGTTGTTAATAATTTCGTTACTGTTTTCCGAGCAATCACGCGGCGAGAATCTGCGGCGTTTGACAATCGATTGTGTCGTTTTGCAATTTACTGCCGTATAATGTGTGATTATCGGTTAGAAGCAACGGCACACAACGAAACCATTAAAACGTCCAAATTGAAAAGCGACAACAAAAAAACTTGATGAAACTTGAACGGCGAAGAGAAAGAGGACGGGGAAGAGATGAGAGAAAGGATAAGAATGTGGACAATACAATGGGAGGTGCGGAGCGGATGTAAGGTTATTAGAATGCGCGGGAGCAAAGACCGATAAGACTGATAGGTATGACAAAAGTAGTACTAAGTCGCGGACGGGCGGAAAAGTCATTCCAACGGATCATTGAGCCCGAGATGTTCCATCGGAGTCGACCGGCAATCCCGTCGATTTCCTTCGTGTAAGAGCATGTAATGAGTTTGACGAGATCCTCTCCCTCAAATCCTTTCCGCTTCCTCACTCCGCGATGCAAACTTTCGTACGCGTCTTTAAAACTTAGGCAAATTACGAGTTCCAAGACGCACAACGCTGAAATTATCTGGCTTGCTGAACTGCACTCTGACTGCTGATAACCTCAGATAAAACTATGTTAAATCCGCGAACCGACCTTTCTCTCTCTTGCGTGTTAGTTAGAAGAGAAACATTGTTTTTTTTTTTTTTATTTTTTACTACTTCGGAACTCTTTTATACATTTCGCGCACTTTACATTCCGGAATTCTCGGAACGAATAAGTTCGAGAGAAAGTTCGCGGCTTAATTCAGTGTATTTTGTTAGGAAAGAGATTTATAGTCGCGTTAATTTTTACTGTCAATTCTTTTTTTTTTCGACAATCGAAAACCGTTTGTTTTATATGTTTCCGTTAAATAGGATTTGAAATTACGTGAAACATAAGTGAGAGAGAGATATCTTTCTTGTCGGTGGGAAAACGAGAAGAAGTAAATTGCAACGAACGTTTTGTAAAATGACAACGAAACAAAAACTGTAAATATTCAGCTTAATGTTCGTTCGTTTCAGATCAATTTACATTCGCGAGAGTTAATCGGCGAGTAATTGGTCGCCGTTTTAATTCAATCATCAATACGAAGTCAGTGCGATTAATGAACTGAAAATTGGATATATTATTTATTCATTCGGCGACGAGATCGAATAGAATTAAATAAAAATCAATTCGAAGTATCGCGCTCGCTCGAATAATTACAAGAATGTAATTTGCAAAATTTTCTCGTAATTACGGAACGCGCGGAAGACAGCGCGCGCGGAATATGTTGCAACGTACGGCATCAAACATGTAACACGCGTCTACGTATATGTACGTAGTCATAAAATATTAGAAGAACAATTATACTCGTTTCACGTGATGAGCGTTGTAAGAACGCACACGTTTCTCCAACGCTTAAAGACCGTAAATTCTAAATTCTTGAAAAATTTATTAAAATACTTTCGTACAACGATATGTTACGTTAGATTTGAGAATTGCAACTTGATCGCGGTGTTGAATTTGTTTGTTCAGGCGATCGAAAGAAAATTTTTGAAGCACTAATTTAACTTAATTATAAAAATCTTTAGCGTAAAATGTATAAATGCGGTTACGCGCGCGTTCGGGTCGCGCGTTTGCCAGCATTATTGCGTTTCTCGTACGAACTGTTGGATTAACCGTGGACTTTCGAAAGTTTCGCGTATATTATCCTGCGTTAGACCGCAGCGCGCGGTTTAGATAATAGAACGGAAGGAAGGTAGCGCGGCGCAACGAGGCGCTTATCAAACTCGGCTGTGCTAACTTTCTCGTCCGATTAATCGCACGCTTTGAGACCAACAGCGGCGAAGGCGGATAAACAACACGGCGACCGATATTCTTATCCGCGAGATTCAACGCGACGCAGCAGTTCAGAAAAAATTAAATTTTCCCGAGTACAGCTGATACCGGCGCTTTTAATGAAGGAAACTTCAGAGAAAAACACGCTTCGTCCTTTATCTTCGTTCCCTTTAAATAATTATTGTTCAATAGACTATATAATGCGTTATTGAACCTTTTAACATAATAGCGGAATTTAAAAAACTGTCAAAAACACTGTCAAACACTGAAATGTATTTCTCAGTTTTCCGACAATCGGGACGTTTTATTTCTAACTAAAACAATCACGAGAGAACACAACATCCACATTTTTTAACGTCGATAAGACAACCGAGAAGTGAATATCCAACAACGTGTTGCCAGAGATGCTCTACAATTCCAGTTCCCTTAAGAAGGCTTACGTGCCTCTCAGACGGAGGCGCGTTACCGTGAAGTTCCGGCCGTTCTCTCTGCAGATTATTTATTTAAAAATCCTTCTCTCGCGGCGCTCTCCGCCTCTTATTCCTTTCAATGCGCGTACACCGAATGTTGGACCCTGCCAACCTGGCGTTAAAGCGGTACTCGTGACGAGCGTCGTCGAGTGGAACAGACATAGGATAAACACGACATTCGCCGGAGCCGTGCGACGAGTACTCTACTAGCGTTTGGGCGTTGCATGCAATTTTCCAACGAAAATTCGTAGGCTGACATAACAGTTGTGAAATACTTGAATTATTTTTTTTTCTCTCCTCGCGAACATTTAATGTTTGAGAAACGAAAATTAAGATTTTATCGAACGAAGTTAAACAAACTCAGAGATTTGTGATTTTTATAATAAGAATAACAAATATAAACAAGAGAAATTGCTCGATCAACAGCACGGTACAGAATATAAACACAAAAGGACTTCTAAGATCGAGCAAATAAAGCAGATCCTCGAGCTAAAAATTCCTTCGGTTTGTTTGTTCAGAAATTTAATTGACGAGAACGTTTTCAATTCTCACTTGGGTTATCTTTAATCGCATGATTGTATTTTATGAAGGTTCAAAGCGGGATTCTCGCTATTTAAATTTCTCAACAAATAAACAAAAAGAATTTTTAACTCAAAGCGTCTGCATTATTTGTTCGAGGACCTCTTGGAGAAGAAGTCCCGTTTACATATTCTGTACTGTGTTGGATTAAAGAATATTAAAACAAAACCGACGATGATTACACGTTCTTTGCATAATAATTTTGCCATATGTTTTCTATAATATACAGAACAGTTGCAACGCGCATCACACTTTTTTTATCTATTTTAAAAATTACTTAATACAACGGCTAATAATTTCAAAAGTAAGTATAGTTACTACACGCGAAGAGAAATACACAAAGTTAAAGTAAACTCTTATTCACCTATATCGCGTGGAAATTCGTCCGCGCGCGCAGAGAATAATATTTATCCTGGAAAATATCCTCCGGGCATAAGTCGCCGACGAAGCAATTTGCACCGAACGTCGGAGGCGAACTTCTCCGTCCCCTCTCCCTTCGCGTTCTGACACCGTCCGTACTACTTTACAACCTTTTTCTCGATCCTGTAGAACGCGCTGGAAAGACTTTCCTTTCTAAGAGGAAAACCTCGTATTTTTTCCGCCCATTGCCTGTTATTCTTGCCGGAGTCTGAAAGAAAATCCTTCGACGAGCTTATCTTCGCACCCGTCGTCTTCATAGTCAATACCCATGAAGGGAGTGCCCTCAATAAAAACTGTATTCTGTCGTTGGTTAGCCGTGTGTATATATATATATATATATATATATATATATATATCTTGCCCGTCTTACCTCACCTTCCTTAGCCTCGATTCCTCGTTCGACCTGAGAGATGTATCCATTCCGTCTTAAGAATCGCTCGATCTCTCGGTTTTCAGATAATCAGCTACGACTCCACCAGAGGTGGCGTTTCCGTGGTCACGGAAAAGGGTGACAGCACGACGAGTTTCCTTCTGGTGCAAGAAGCAAAACCGTCTGACTCGGGACGGTACACTTGCAACCCCAGTAACGCTCAACCAAAGTCGATCACCGTACACGTACTAAACGGTGAGTAATCAAAAGATGCGAAAACGAATTTTTCGTCGCGCGATTCTCGCAAAACAATGCGTCGAGTATCAGAAGTCAAACATGTAAATTTCGCGCGACTCAATTTTTTTCTTTTTCTCGCATCCATTGGCTCGAATCTTGTTACAAAATTCTTATCTAGTAAAATGAGACTTATGTGTATTTTGGTAGCTCTGAGACACGCGCGTTCTTTATACTTCGCACAACTCGTTTGGACTTAATGAATTCCCTCTAATGTCAGAAACAGCCTACGAAAATCTACGAAAACCGTGCCAATTATGGACAGGAAAATAATTAGCTAAATTGCAGCCGACACGGCCGCGGCGCCATTCTCATTTTGGTCGGGCAATAAAAAGCACAATGGGAAGAGCAAGGTCCCTGCCTCCCGCAGGTCTTCAGAAAATTTAAGTGTTGCCCTCTGTTTCAGGAGAGTATCCCGCGGCAATGCAGCACGGCGGTCAGGCCAAGCAACCGAGGCTGTATTCTCTTTTGCTCTGTCTGTGTCTGCTACTTTACTAATTGCTCTATTCTATCGCGCACTTTCGAAGGAAGAAGTCAAGAAGACAATTCAGAAACGGAGAACGAGAATGTGTGCGCGAGAAAAAAAAAAGCGAATAAGAGAGTGTGCGTTATGAGAGTGTGTGTTTGATGTGAAAAACAGAGTGAGTGAGTTGTGTGTGAAAGAGAGAGAGAGAGAGAGAGAAAGAGAGAGAGAGAGAGATATTTCCGATATGAGATGCTCGAACGTTACCAAAGTGTCAGGGAAGTCACGACTAGATACGGTGCGACGATGCGGTGCATCCTACGCTTTTGACTGTGCACCGGAACGATGACTCTTTCGCAACGACGCGCCGTTTGTCGATGCAACGGAGCAACGACAGGAGCGCGTCCAGAACCACAGCACTGCAGCGTGACGACGATGCTTTTAGCGATGTCTCGTCGATGAGGTTGCGCGCCAATTTCGGATTATACGATAATACATATATGTAGACGAAAATGCGCGTTTCACGGTTATCTAGGTTTCAATAAGCGTCAACAAACAAACAAACAAAAATAAAATCATCGATCGGTTTTATTACCGACGGACGTTGTTCGTAAGTTCGTTTTAATTTTACGCTTGATTGAAAATGACGATCACACGTGTGTGTATTCGACGTATGTAATACGACACGTGACTCGATGTGACGAAATTAAAGACAATGCGAGCGGAAACACACACACGCACACACGAATGTATATCACACAGGATGTCGCAGAAGTCGCGCGTACTTTTGTACGAACTTTTCTCTCTCTTTTCGTCTAAAAATGTACATTTTTATACTCTTAAATTAAAGTTTTCTCTCTCTACTTGTACAAGTAAAATCTTTTAAAAGTGTTGGAAAAGAATATATGCACAATTTTTTACAATAAATTTACATTCTACCCAAAAGTTTTCAAATTCCGCGATCGTCCGCAATTCCGAGACTCTCGAAATAATCGACTTATTTTTCAATGGAACTGCAAACACCTCTGGTTGAAAAAAAAAAAAGAAAAAATAGCGAATCTTCTGGGACATCTTGTACACACACACACACGCGCGCGCGCGCGCGCGCGTAAATAGCAAAAGTCTGAAAAAGAATGTGGACACAGTAAAGTCGAAAAAGACCGAGAATGAAGACAGAGAGTGAAAGAGTGAGAGATCAAAGTGGTAGAAAGGATGAGAGAGAGAGAGAGAGGAAGGAAGGAAAATAGAGGAGGACGCGCACGTGAGCAGTGCTCGCCTTCCCCAGCACGTGCATAATTCGAATAGACCCGAAGCGAGTCTGCCGACTCGCGGAAGTTTCGAAACTGGCAAAGCTAGTAGTGCGGATGCATCGTCGAAGAACGAATCGTTGCCACGCAACCGCGGCTTTGACCGAATCGGGTATGTGCGCTTCGGAAATCTACGCGGCTGTGTAACCACGGACCCGCCACACGACCAGTTTGTACCGGCCGTACATTGATTCTTCCGTGGCGACATGCACAAGAGCCTTTTGTCAATGCTCGATTCTCGTGTTCCAATATTGACGCCGCACTTTCGGCCACCGGCGAGAAACGAGCGGCGAAATCTCGAATTTCCACGCGCCTGAAAAGCACCGCCGATTATCACGTAATCGGATGTATCACGTGATGTCTCTTGACTCTTCTCTTATTATTTCCTTGTTTTCGAAAACGGCGCGACATTTCGAAGCGATTAACTTCGTTAATCGTTGAACGCTCGATGAGAGACGTGTATCTGTATATACGATATATTTTTGTTTATTAATCGGTAAGTAGCGATTTTTTACATTTGAAACTCTCCAGGACTTGGCTTTGATCGCGAGCAGTCACGTCGTTTTTTTACAACTAAGAAATGTCGGTTTACAACGCAATTAATTCTGTTTTTTTTTTTTTGCTCCCAGTTGCGTATTGTGAAATTCAATAGCAGTTTCGTTTCTGTTACCGTTTGCTGCGTTTATTGTCAAAGAGTACGAGTACAAAGCGAGAGATATTCGCATTGTGCGACGATACATATGCATTAATCGCGTTACATGATGTGCTTCGAGAGTTCGAAGAGAAAAGGACTTTTACGTTTCAAAGCAAAAAATATTTATGTGACAAATGCGCAAAAAGGATTTTTCCGAGCATTATTATATATTAATATTAGTAGAATCTACACTCGGTAATGGTATATCTGCGAGGCAATGCGCGTTAAAATTTTATCGTATTGTTATTTTGCGAGCGAGATTTCGGAGCTTCGTTTCTGAACGATACCCTTTTGCCATAAAGCAAATTAATTTTTGTAAGCGCACGAGAGAGAAAGAGAGAGATCTCCTTCTCTGTCGGGATTAACAGAAATACGCCATAAAGCGGCGGTGTCCGTCCGTAGGATAAACGCGGCGTCGGATGAAAAATATTTAAAAACGCGGCATTAAACTAAAATCCTCTTAATTAATTTAGACACGCAGAAGCTTTCATTTTCTGTGTAGCGTTTCGCATTGTTTATGCAATTTACGGAATCGCTCGTGTCGGCAAAATCGCCTGTACCTATCTAACCATCACACCGCGGTTGAAACAAAAGATAACAATTAAATTCATCTTTCCGCTTCTCCGGGAAGAGCGTTTTTCTGGGACGCGGAGGTGGGAAGGGGGATATAATGAAGAAGAGTCGGTCACGCGTGCAATCCGTGTATATAGCAGGTACGCGGGAGCAATGGGAGGATAAGCGACGAGAGAGCGCATCGCCCGTAATCGATCAAGCCCGTGTGAAAGGCGCGCGAGACGAACATCCGGTTCAATTAGCTCTTGCAATTTGCTCTTTTCAAGCTGCTCTGCCCATTCGTCTTTACGGGCAATACCTTCAACTATAATATCGAATTTCGCGCGGCGCTGCCCGGCGTTAGCCATAACTCATGCTCACACTGTTGCTGTCCTTATTCGTTTCTTACGCTGCGCGTATCTCGCAGCTTTCATCGAAACACGCCGAAAAACGCCACGGGAGTTCTCGCCGATGATTTTCGTTCCAAGATTTAAATTAATGTTTTTAAATATGAACATAAATAAAGCGAGATGTAGAGGTGTGACCTCCGGCTCTTGTAAATTTCCAAGAAAACGGCTATATTGAGACCAAAGCAGGGATGTGCAAATATATATATAAATGAATCGATCAATTGATAAGAATTTAAAATATAGTCGAAACGTTTTGATTACAAAAAATCTCTCATTTATTTATTTATTACAACATCCTGCTTTGGACTCTGTATAACCCGTTTTCTTTGAAATTTATATTGGAATGAACATAAATATTTGAGTAATTTTGCATTATCACGTATATTTATACGCACATTATTATTTGTATTCAAAACTAACGAAAGTATCGGAAATCCGACAAATTTTATTATATTAAAATTGATATAAAACATCTTAAAAAAATGTGTTCTTTTTTTAATTTTGAAAATAAGAAACCACGTGACACGCGTATTTTTCGATTGTCCGGAAGTAATTATTATATTGTGTAAGAAATCAGTGATAGGGATTCGGGTGCATAAAGCACTACACTTTTTTTATGTTCATATATGCTATTTTTAACGCTGATATAAATGAACAACTACTTTGTTGCGCGGTCGTAATAGCTGCCTAGGAGTCGCCCGTCCTGGCTGACGAATGAATCCTGCCGTAGATTTGCCGGCACTCTCTGGTCCTCGATCGGGAATAATCGGCAAGGCCGATCACCAGCGAGTGCTATTTGTCTTTACACAGATCACGCAAAATGAGCGTGACACGCGTATGTACGCGTGAACAGCTGATACCATACGCAAATCTCGATTATTCCTTACAATTGTAGTTGATTCGGAGTTTTTTGATTTAACGCACATTCGCAAGTTCGGGAGAAACGACGCGCAATTTAGTACCAAAACGGCGAAGACGTTTTAATAACGATTAATGAAGCTTGCTGCTGGTCGCGCGAAAGGAGGATGCGGGGTAGGAAAAATATGAATAATGATTAAAGACGTGGGAAAACGTTCGCGGTGAAAAGCGCGCGCGAGAGAGAGAGAGAGACGAGCAATATCCGCAACGGAAGAACGTGATTAAAAAAGTTTGCAACGACACAGTAATACAATGGCCCGACCACGCGTAAGAACGCCTCTTGTCGTCGTTGTTGTCGTCGCCGACCGGATAATCAAGTCCCTTGTCTCCGGTCCCTTATATTTGCCTGAGTAAAAAAGAGTCCGACCTTCGCGGCCGAGATCTCTCTATTGCCGTCTACTCGCTCGGCCGGTCGCCTCTTCTTTCTTCACGTCGGGGAAAATTGGGCGGTTCCGGATAGGAAAAAAGCACGGGGATGGCGGACGGGAAAAGGTAAGTGGTGAACGCGCGCGCGAGGATACTTGCTCCTTCATTTATCAAGTTAAACGTGTGACGCGTCACATAACGTAAAACGCGCTGCGAGAGAGAAAGCACGTAGCGAACTCGGACGTCGGACCACTTACGTGTTGAAACACGTACGTGCAAATTGCTACGCGCTTAAACATTAAGATAATTTTTTTTTTCAAATAAAAAGACTTAAAGATCTAAAAGACTAATTGGATCTTTTCTGCGCGAGAAATTGGCTGATATGTGTATATACAAAAATGTAATTGCGAAGCATCTTAACAATTGAAGATCGCCGACTGCCATACTCGTCCGCTGTACACAACAAAGACACCCCGTATTCTTCGATATATATTTTCAACCGGCAATTTTCCTTAAGAAGGAGAAGAGGAGAAAAGAAGAGACGAAATCCCACGGAAAGCGAACACAGAGCTGCGCAATACGGAAGAGGGTTCGAAGCGGCGCATGCAACGCGTGCCTATCGTCGTTTCTTGGTATTTCCATCCACTTTTATTCTTTACTATAATAGCATCCGACATGAGAATGCCGCGTTCGTGACCAGCAAACGAGACTGTCTATGTGCTCGCGTCCGGATGTTTTTCCTCTCGTTTCGCTTTTCCGGAACGTCCGCGGCTTCGCGTACGTGCACCCGGCTTTAATTAAAAATGAGCGGCAGTTTTTCTCATATTACGTCAACGGTCTCTGCTCGGGAGTAAACGTTATTGTTTCATTTCTGGCATTTATTTCTCGCAGGAACGTACTTACGAATTGTTATACGTTTTCTAATAGAATGATTAATGAACGGAACAATAAGCAGGGAGAAATACGTGCCCAAAATGAAATTAAAAGAGCATGTATATCAGAATCAAAAAAACATTCTTTTGAAAAATAACGTTAAACTTGCGCGCGCGATATACACGCGGTATTTGTAGAGAATATTTGTCTTGGCGTTCATTTTATATTTATTTTATTTATATTTTTATTAACATGTTTATTAAAAAAAACTTTTTCTAGTCGAGAAAATCTTTAAAAGATGATACTTCGCAAAGTAAATTTGTTATAAAGAGAATAAATCGCGAATATTTTGTCCACATTGTTGTTCTGTTCGCGCAATGTTGTTTTGTTCACATACGCTGCGAACACAATAAATACATCTTGTCAAACGTAAATATTAATAAACAGAATGAAAATTCAAAAGAGCGAAATTCTGCGCGCGCGTGTTTGTGTATGTTATAATCCGCGTGACTATCTGAGCAAGCTTATCTTGTCGCTATTTTTTACAAAAAAAAAACACACATTTAAGTTTGTAAAATCAATAGCGTTCGCTTCTCGAAGGAGCGCGCTCTTCATTAAGACGCTAAACTTTGGCATAATTTCTGATTCTGATTACATCTGATAGCAGCAAAATCGTTACCGCGCCGCGAATTAGAGTCGCGTTACAAAGCGACCGGCGTGCGCGAACTCTCTTCTCGACGGAAGACGTCGTTGCGCGTTTCCCGAACGGAATGTAGGCCGAAAACGATAATGAATCGAGAGAGGGGAAAAACGAAAAGAACGTCTGTTCGAGCAAGAGATAAGAGCACCGTCGTCGCTCCCTTCATATCGCTAACGTACTATCGGGTCACTCGAAGAAGCTCTCTATTTCTCAACGAAGAATAATTCAACGAGAATTTTTCACGAGAGAGAAAATATACGTCAACGAACAGAGACGCGTCTCTTGACATCTCTGCGATCTCAAGGTAAATTCATTAAAAAAATAAATAAATAAACAAAAGCTGACGTATTTGTTGCACGCCGGCGCGAGTCCACGTCTCGAATGTCACATCGCGAAATATGTACACGCAGCATCTTCGTTATCTCAGAAACGAATATATACGCGAGCGATATGTGCGGTTTGCGGATTTATACGTTTTTCAATTTTTTAATCATCTCGGCCGAATACAGGAATCTGTTTGTTTGCAAGTTTATTACAGGATTTGTGAGTCAACTCTTTATACGGTTTTTACATTTTGGTACGATATTATTGCGAAATCTGCGAAACGCACATAATCGACGAGAGCGACGTATTGATCAAAATTGCAATTTTGACAGTGAATTCTCGTACAACCGATCGCGTACGGATGCTTCGCGCGTTTTTAATTCGCAGTCTACAAATAATTGAATCAAAAAAAAAAAAAAAAAACATACGTATTTCAAATAACGCTCGACACTCGCGATACGCATTAGTATTTAATGGCAACCCCTCTGGCGTCCCAACTGCGCGATTTCTCTCTGATGCGCCTACATAATATCGAGTTCAAGCGATTTGGTAGCGAAGCGAGAGAGAGAGAGAGAGAGACAGAGGAAAAAGCGGAGAAAACGAACGATCGCATAACAGTTAACGTTGAGAGGCGCGATGCGTTGAAAGCGCAGTTTTTCATTCGAATAGCGGGATACAAAAACAAAAAAAAAAAAAAACGAAGCAGTGCGTGCCGCGGTTTTGTTATTTCACCTCTCTCCGGTATTAGCGCGGTGCGAATCAACCAAACTGCTCGCACCTGCTCGCGAAGAAGAAGAATCTCGTCCTGCGATTCATGTTAATTACACGATACACATGTGAGAGATGCGATTATGCGTTTCTTTCGTGCTGACTGACTCTTTCGCAAAAAACAAAAAAAAAGAAAAAGTTAAAACGAACAAAAATCCGACGCCAGACATCATTGTCCGCCGAAGTCGTCCGCCGTTTGATAAATTCAAGCGCGGGTGTTCTATTTTCACAACATTTATCTATTCTACTGTCAGTCGTACCGATTTATCATAAAGGCGAAGTTTTCTTCTTCTGATTAAGACCATAAATCAATCGAAAAATAGGTATCGCACAAAACCGTCGCACATCAAACGAGAGATAAGTAGAAAAACTTAGATGAGATCGGACGGTGTGTCATATTGTTTGTTATTTAACGTTTAAGTCAAGTCGTGTAATTTCTTCTACAATCGCGCAATACTTGTTTCAATGATGTTTCAATCGATCACCTCGGTCGCCGATTAGAAACTAGACTAAACATTTCTCACGCGTCAATATATTTTTACGACGACAATCGAAAACTTTTGAATAACAATATCTGCCACGTTGTCACGTGCCGATTATCGTGGCAAATATCAAAATACACACCGCGACAACCAATTTTAATAATATCCATCAGAGCACTCTGTCTCACGTTTCGGTCATCACCGTACAACCGGAGGATCGATTGACTGTGACCCCGTTTTCTGGGTTGGCCGTGTTTTGTCAATTTTTTTTCCGCATGTGCGCGAGTAACTCTTGCGCTCTTTCGTATGTATATATATATCTCTTTTTTTTTTTTTTTATTTGAAAGTCTGACCGACAAGAAAACAAAAAAAGGACGAACGAAAAAAAAAACGAAGACGAGCGCGGAAAGCAACTTTCGTGCGATGCAAATTAGTATGCAGAGCGACGCACCGCCGGGAAAGGGAGTTGTACGTGACGATTTATAAAAAGTCGATGCATTGTGTGCGCCGCATCGAGACGCGCGACAACGACGGCGTTCGTTAGCGTTACGCGTGTAAGAGTTACGTAAAAAAAAAAAATTTAACGTCGTTCTCTTTTCGACTAGTCGCCGTTATCGATAACAAGAACGGAAAATACTTGATTATGATTTCGTGCGACAAAACTCGAGCATTTAACACGCAATTCCGTTCTCCCGAACGCGCTAGTCAAGCATAGAGAGAATCAATATCTCTCTCGTTCGCGTATTTCGAAATGGTAAAACACAAAAGCGAAGTGCGTACATACATATATGTATTTCGTGCGCGCGCGCGCGCATGTGTGTGTGTGAAAGTCGAAATTGGATCTCGAGATTTTGCGAAAATTTATCTATGTCCGACTCCGGATATATTTCGAACACATCGACGCGATCAAAGAGACAAAGCGCCGTTGTTCCGCATGCTACAACAACTTGCTGCCACGCACGTTTCTAATGAACGGTTCATAATAGCGAAATTAATGGCGTAT